ATAACCACCACACCACCTGCTGGCCCACTAATTTTTTTTTAACTTTATTTATTTTATTTATTTATTTTAATTTGACCAGAGAGGGACAGAGTGAGCGGGGTTGGGGGGAGGGGTGGGGTAATAGCAAGCTGCCAGGTCTGAGACTCGAACCGTGGTTGGTCATGTGGGAGTCCAGCACTCATAACCACCACGCCACCTGCTGACCCCTGGCTAGTGTTTTCTTAATAACAAAATGCTAGAAGGATCTGTAAGAAATGAAAGCGGCAGCCTACAGAGGTAGAGGGAAACGAGGGGGACTGCAAGAATTTGAGCAAGGCTTACTTTTTTGGGGGGATCTAAGAGGGCTAGGGCATGTGTATTCACCAAAGAGAGAGACAGAGAGGGAGAGAGAGGGAAAGTGAGAAAACACCCCCATGGGCAAGGGTTACATGGCAATCCCCTCTCCACTTCTCCCTCCTTTAGGGAATTGGGGCACACATAGGCCCCGCATATTTCTCCAGCTGCTGGGGGAGACCAGAGCGCTCCAGGTAGCCCTGCAGGATCCAGCCTCCTTAACCAGCAGGCCGCGGCTGCCCCCTAGTGGCTACTTTGAAATATCCACCTTGCTCTGGATCCTAGGATGGTATGCGATTTCCACCAGCTGACGGTACATGGAATTAAAGTACGAGATGATTTGGGTACAAAAAAATTGAAACCCACAAATAGATTTTTTTCAATAATACGCATTTTTAAAAGGATTTATTTACATTTTTCTTATGATGATTTTTTTTAAAAAATTTGACCAGAGAGAGAGAGGAAGTGAGAAAGCAAGCTGCCAGGTCTGGGACTTGAACCACAGTCAGCTGCATGAAAGTCCAGCACCTGAACCAACATACCACCGGCTGGCCCCCTAATGCACTTTTTTTTTTTTTTTTTTAAGAATTATTTAACTTTCTTCATTTATTTATTTTCATTTGGCCAGAGAGGGACAGAGTGAGTGAGTGAGCAGGGAGTGAGAAAGCAAGCCGCCAGGTCGGTCCAAGACTCGAACTGCGGTTGGCCATGTGGGAGTCCAGCACCCTTAAGCACCACGCTACCTGCCCACCCCATAATACACATTTTTTTTTTATTTGCCAAGAGGTTTTCGCTATAGGGCGCGTGCGCTCGCCAGACAGAGACAGACAGACAGAGAGACAGAAAGCGAGAAATCACCCCCCAGGGGGGATGGCCACGCCGCAATCCCTTCTCCTCCATTCTCCTCTCGGGATCTTGGGCACGCACGCACACGCGCCCAGCGTGAGGTTAAGCCACCGGGTCCGGAATTTGAACCACAGTCAACTGCATGGTAGTCCAGCGCCATAGCCATTACACTAACTGCTGGTTCCCAATAATTCACATTTTTTAATAAACTTTTTGAAGACCCCTGGTTTACCTAACAACCAAAAACTTGGTACCAACTTTCTTCACAAGTTCGAAGCTCTTAAATACTAGCAAAATACAAATCATGAAAAACATAGTTTGGGGGCCAGCTACACCAACAGGTGGTACAGCTGTTACATCACTGGACTCCCACATGGCCGACTGGAATTCAAGCCCTAGACCTGGTGGCTTGAGATTCACGCCAGACAGATATACACACATGCCCAAAATCCCAAGAGGAGAATGAAGGATAATCTCCCCTGAAGTTTTTTGTTTGTTTGTTTGTTTTGGTTTTTTGTTATATGCCGTGTGTATTTGCCAGAGAGATAGAGAGACAGAGAGACAGAAAATGAGAAATCACCCCCCCAGGGGGGATGGCCACACTGCAATCTCTTCTCCATTCTCCTCTTGGGATCTTGGGCACGCACGCACACGTGCCTGGCATGAGTTTAAGCCACCGGGTCTAGGACTCGAACCATGGTCAACTACACGGGAGTCCAGCAACATAACCATTATGCCATCAGCTGTTCCTGCAAAAATCTCTTAAACAAACAAACAAAAAACAGTTTCCAGGGCTAGTAGGTGGGCCGGTGGTTAAAGGCAGATAGATCCCACATGGTCCAGTGGGCAGTTTGAATTCTGGACTTGTTGGCTTGAAAGACACTACAGGGGGACCAGCAGTTGGAATAATGGCTATGTCGCTGGAATCCCACGTAGTCGACCGCGGTTCGAGTCCCGGACCCGGTGGCTTAAACTCATGCCGGGCGCGTGTGCGTGCGTGTCCAAGATCCTGAGAGGAGAATGGAGGAGAAGGGATTGCGGCGTGGCCATCCCCCCTGGGGGTGATTTCTCGCTTTCTGTCTCTCTGTCGTTCTGGTAAGAACATGCATCCTATAGCAAAAACCTCTAAAAAAAAAAAAAAAAACCTTAAAATAAAAAGGAGAATCTATTCAAAATTTTCAAAGACCAATGGCACAGAATGAAGGAAAGGAATGGAGTTTGTGGCAATGGCGCCCTCTGGTGGTCAACAGCTATTCCTGCTCAGTGAGGATTTCTTGAATCGGACTTAAAGAGAACACCTGCTAGACATCTTATTTTATGGTTAATAATAACCCATCCCCATGCTCGCTCTGGCAGTGCACATCCTAAAGTTGAAGAAACAGAAAGATTAGCAGCGCCCTTGTGCAGAGATGACACGCAAATTCATGAAGCATTCCAGATTTTTTGCATCCATGCTGGAATAAAACATACGTATGCATTGAAGGTAAACTGTGATTGAATGTGAAATTTTAACATTTATTTTATTTCATTTGATGCATCATCACTATTAATTTGTTAATCAGAGAGAGATAGGGGGAAAGTGAGAAAGGCAGCTGCCAGATCCGGAATTCGAACCACGGTCAGCCATGTGGGAGTCCAGTGCCCTTAACCACCATGCCGCCTGCTGGCCCCTGTTCCACCATTTTCTGAGTTAATCTCCTGGTTGTCGATTTGCGTTTCACCAGCTGGTAACACTGTAAAATGAGAAGCAATGAATTAAAAAGCCATCAGCTAGAGGGACCAGCAGTTAGCGTAATGGCTATGTCGCTGGACTCCCATGTAGTTGACTGCAGTTCGAGTCCCGGACCCAGTGGCTTAAACTCACGCTGGGTGCGTGTGCGTGCGTGCCCAAGATCCCGAGAGGAGAATGGAGGAGAAGGGATTGTGGCGTGGCCAGCCCCCATGTGAGCGCTGATTCCGTGTAAATCGAACCTGATTACACTTGCAAGAGCCCTATTTCCCCGTAAGGCCCCATTCGCAGGTACGAGGGGTTAGAATGTCAATATTGGGATTGTACACAGCTCAAACCACAGTCACCACAGTCACCTCGCGTCCAGGCGTCAGCTAGCCAGCCGAGTGGACGGGCGGAAGGGTGAAGGGTTTGAAACGTTCCTGGGAAACACGTACCGTGAAAAAAGATGTGTGGAATTCAAAATTCTTTTGTACCCCAAAAAACGACTTTTTTAAAAAGTTCAGGAAAACCAGCAGTTAGCGTAATGGCTATGTCACTGGACTCCCACATAGTCGACCGCGGATCAAGTCCTGGACCCGGGGGCTTAAAACTCACGCCGGGCGCGTGTGCGTGCGTGCCCAAGATCCCGAGAGGAGAATGGAGGAGAAGGGATTGCGGTGTGACCATCCCCCCTGGGGGGTGATTTCTCGCTTTCTGTCTCTATGTCTCTCTCTGTCTGTCTGGCGAGCGCACGCGCCCTATAGTGAAAACCTCTCAAAAAAAAAATTATTTTTTAAAAAAATTTCAGATGGTATGTGTACTCACGACCCAGAGAGACAGAGACAGAGAAAGGGAGGAAGAAAGTGGCGTCCGCCCCATAGGGTGTCGGTACACCATAATCCCTTCTCTATTTCTCCACCCTGTCGGGATTTGGGGCACGCACACACCTGCGCTCATGTTTTCCCTGTTCTCTTTTCTCTTTTTAAAATTTTACTATAGGGCACGTATGCTCACCAGAGAGAGAGAAGGGGAAGGGGATCGAGAAAACACCTTGAGGGCAGGAGGGTGGCCAGAGAGACAGAGACAAACGCACATGTGCCCAGCATTTTTTTTCAAGTTTTACCAGGTCTAGGACTTGAACTATGCACTCAGCTATGTGGGATCCAGCCCCTTAACCATCACGCCACCCACTCGTCCACACTCTATGGTTTTCAAGCCACTGGGGGCTGGGACTGTGGTCAGCCTTGTGGAATTGAACTCTCACCTAACCAATAAGCTAAGGAGACATCCCTAAACTTGCGGCATGGCCAAACCCCCTGGGGGGGTGATTTCTTGCTTTCTGTCTCTCTGTCTTTCTGGCGAGCGCAGGCGCCCTACAGCAAAAACAAACAAACAAACAAACAAAAACCAACCAACCAACCAACAAACCACCTCTCCAGATTTGCTAGGCAATTCTCTTGACTGTAAATCAGGAGGCTGATCCCCCAGGATCAAGTGGGGGCAGGCTTGATCCAGATCAGGACAGTGGATATTAAGGCCACACGAGCTCACCTAAGAAGGCCCGTGAGGATTTACAACACTCCTGCTGCCCAGGGCCGGCTTTGCCCCCCACGCCTCCCTGCCTCTGTACCCAGGAGGTACGGCTCCGCGCTCCCCACGGAGTCCGAGTCTTGGAGTCTTCTTCCCGCCTGGCCTCGCACTGGGACTGGCCTTGGGAACTGCTTTGGTCCCTGGGCTGGCAGCGTCATGGGGAACAAGCGGAGATGGAGAAGCTGGGGGACACTGTGCTTGGGTCTGACCGGCCCTGGGGAAGAGCCTGGGCCAGTCTGCTGGGGACAGAGACATGCAGGCCCCCTGCTGCCAGCTGCCAGCCAGCCAACTGGCCCTTTCTGGCAAATTTAGGAAAACGGTTGTTTGAGGTCAGTGAATAAACCTTCCAAATGAGGGACCAGCAGTTGGCATAATGGCTCCACCGCCAGACTCCCACATAGTCGATCACGGTTTGAGTCCCGGACCTGGTGGCTTAAACTCACCGGCCGCGTGTGCGTGCGTGCCCAAGATCCCGAGAGGAGAATGGAGGAGAAGGGATTGTGGTGTGGCCATCCCCTCGGGGGGTGATTTCCTGCTTTCTGTCTCTCTGGCGAGCACACGTGCCCTATAGCAAAAACCTCTCAAAATAAATTAATAAATAAGCATCATGATAATAAAATTAAATAATAATTTTTTAAAAGATGAATATGAAAATAATAAGAGGTTATCCTTGGGCCAGCAGGTGGCGTAAAGGGTAAGGTGCTGGATCCTACGTGGCCAACCACAGCTTTGAGTCCTGGACCTGGAGGCTTGAAAAACATGGCGGTTACATGTACCCGTGTGCCCAAAACCCTAAGAGGAGAATGGAGAAGAGAGTGCTGTGTAGCCTTCCCCCTGAGAGGGTTATTTCTCTTTTCCTGTCTCTGGTAAACACATACAAAAATCTATTAAAAATAAATAAATAACAGCCATCCTCATAGCCTAGTGCGGTGGCCGCCAGCATTTTGACACTAGCAACTGGTTTCATAGAAAATAATTTTTCTAAGACCTGGGGTAGAGGGGGAGGATGATTTGGCGATGACTCAAGCAAGTCCCATTTATTGGGCACTTTATTATTATGACATTATGTTTAAATATATTAAAAGAGGAGCCAGCAGGTGGTATGGTGGTTAAGGGCACCGGACTCCTACATGGTCAACTGCGGTTCGCATACTGGTCCTGGACCTGGTAGTTTGCTTTCTCACTTACTCTCTCTCTCTCTCTGTTCAAATTTAAATAAATAAATAAATGATGTTAAATTAAAAAATTCTTTTTTAAAATAATTATTTATTTTATTTTTATTTATTCATTCATTTAATTTTTAATTTGACCAGAGAGACATAGAGGGTGAGAGTAAAAGAGAGAGGAAGTGAGAAAGCAAGCTGCCAGATTCAGGACTCGAACCCCGGTCGGCCATGTGGGAGTGTCCAGCGCCTTAACCACCACGCCACCTGCTGGTCCCAAATAAAAAAATTCTTTAAAAAAATAAAAATATTTCAAAAGGGGCCAGCAGGGGACATGGTGGCTAAGGGCACTGGACTCCCACATGGCTGACTGTGGTTCGAGTCTTGGACCTGGTGGCTTGGTTTCTCACTTTCTCTCTCTCTCTCCCAGTTCCTCTCTGCTAAAGAAAAAAAGAAAAAAAGTTAAATATTTTTTAAAATAATGGTACAATTTACCATCATGCAGCATCAGGGCAGCCCTGAGCTTGCTTTTGTGCATCTAAGGAGCGCTGCATTCCAAGCCTCATTGGGATTATGGTGGTGAATGCGCAGGGCGAGTTTAGACAGGTTCCACGGTGAGAATCTAACGCCGCCACTGATTGGACAGGGGGCGGGCGCAAGTGGTAACATGACCAATGGGGGTGGCTGTAAATACAAAGGCAGCTTGGTCACCTGCCACTCACCTCCTGCTGTATAACCTGGGTCTGGGGGTTAAGGCGGCTGGATTTCACTGGACTGACATTGGTTTGAATCTCAGCCCTGGCAGCTTGAATAACATCTAGTGTGTTTGTGTGTGTGCGTACCCCCAAATCCCGATAGCATGGAGCGCCGAAGAAAGGACTGCAGTGTGATCACACTCGATTAGGGGTGCTGTCTCGGTCTCCAGTGAGCAGACACCCTCTGGTAATAAAATAATAGGGACCAGCAGGTGGCGTGGTAGTTAAGGCACTAACTCCCACATGGCTGACCGGGGTTCAAGCCCCACACCTAGAAACTTTCTCACTTTCCCCCTTTTTCTCTCTGGTAAGCACATGTACCCTGTAACATATTTTTAAAAATAATAATGGGGAGGGGAGACCAGAAGGTGGCATGGTGGTTAAGGTGGACACTGCCACATGACTGACCGTGGTTCAAGTCCCAGACCTGGTGGCTTGCTTTCTCACTTTCTTTTTTTTTTCTCTCCCCCCCCCACCTCTCTCTGGTCAAATTAAGATAAATGAGTGAATAAATAAAATTTAATAAACAATTACTTTTAAAAGATAATAATAATAGGGCCAGTAGGTGGTGGCATGGTGGTTAAGGTGCTAGACTCCCACATGGCCAACCATGGTTTGAGTCCCAGATCTGGCGGCTTGCCTTCTCACTTTCCCTTTCTCCTTCTCTCTCTGGGAAGCACTCCTGCCCCCAAAAAAGTAAATAATTCTTTAAAAAAAAAAAACCAAAAAACCATAAAATGATATAGGTGCAAGTCCTAGACCTGGCAGCTTGCCTTCTTACTCTCTCTCTCTCTCTGGTCAAATTAAAATAAGTAAACAAATAAATTAAATAATTATTTTAAAAAGCAGAAATAAGGGGCCGGCAAGTGGCATGGTGGTTAAAGGCGCTGGACTCCCACATGGCCGACTACGGTTCAAGTCTCGGACCTGGTGGCTTGCTTTCTCACTTCCTCTCTCTTTCTCTGTTGCTCCCTGATCAAACTGGAAAATAATAATGATAATAATAATAAGTAAAGTTAAATAAAATAATTCTTAAAAAAATAAATAAAAAGCAGAAATAAATCATTCTTAAAAAAAAAAACACTTATTAAAAAAAACTGGAAGGTGGGATGGAAGTTCCAAGACTCTTCTAAATCTCGTGAGACTCACCTTTGTTCCCACGGTCCCTCCTGTGAACCGTCTTCTCCAACTGAAATGGAACACTCCATTCTCTCTAGAATCAGACTTCACCTCGGCCATGCCAACCCCTCTGTAATTTAGGTTTTTCCAGAGCCAACCCCAGCCCCCCTCATAGCCCTCAGACTATTTTGTCCACCACAGAACCTGCATCAGACACTCAATAAATACTAAATAAGAATTCCAGAATACTTTGGGTGATGTAGTGGTTGAGGGACATCCACATGGACGACTGCAGTTCGAACCCCGGACATGGTGGCTTGAAACTCAAGCCAGGCATATGTGTGTGCGTGCCCCTGCCCCAATTCCCGGGAGAATGGAGAAGGGATTGGGGCATGGCCATCCCCTGAGGGGGCGACTTCTCTTCCCCCCCAACTGTCTCTGTCCCTCTCTGGCAAGCACATGGGCCCTAAATCAAACATCTCTTAGAAAATAAATAAATGGGGGACTCGCAGTTGGCGTAATGGCTGTGTTGCTGGACTCCCATGTAGTCGACCGCGGTTTGAGTCCCGGACCCGGTGGCTTAAACTCACGCCGGGTGCGTGTGTGTGAGTGCCCAAGATCCTGAGAGGAGAACGGAGGAGAAGGGATTGCGGCGTGGCCATCTCCCCTGGGGGTGATTTCTAGTTGGTGAGTACACGCACCCTATAGCAAAAATCTCTCAAAACAAAAACAAAAACAAAAACAAAACAACTGAAAAAAAGACTATGTAACAGAGACCACGTGTGGCTCGCAGAGTCTGAATTATTTACTATCTGGCCCTTCATAATTGAACCCTGACAGAACCTCTCTAGGTAAAACCACAGCAAGGGAGTCAGGGTTCTAAGGGGAATGACCAACAGGGCCTTAGACACCTCACTTGCCCAGGAATCACCATGAAGCCATGTTCCTCTATTCTATCAATTTAGCACCTACATTCTAAACACCTGATTTTGAGGGCAAATCCCAAGGAATCTAACAACTTTCACAATCTGCTACTTGCCAGGTTCACTTTGGCTAAGGAATAAGAGAAACATATGTAATAATAGCTGGGGCCAGCAGGAGGCGTGGTGGTTCAGGAGGTGGACTCTGACATGACCGACAGGTTCAAGTCCCGGACCTGGCGGCTTGCCTTCTCACCTTTCCTCTCTCTCTCTCTCTCTCTGGTGATAACACGTGCCCTTATAGCAAAATTTTAAAGATGACAAAAAATTTTAAATAAATAATTCTTTCAAAATAAAAAAAATAAGTAGCTGGAGGTTATGAGTGATACAAATCTGTTTAATGTTTGATAGACAAATTCAAGTTGATAAAGACATTTCCTTGAATTTAATAAAGATACTAAAAATGGTACTTGCAGGATTTTGCTTTTTGTTTTTTAATATTTACAATCGCCTTTGCTTTTTTAAACAAAGTTCTGTACATAGAAATAAATATACAGAAACAAACCCTGTCAACTGTCTGCATCAGTACTCCTCAGTGGTGGGCTCACCATTTATAAGGAAGACATCATTCGACGCACACTGTCACAGAGACTGTTCTCGCCGTAAGGACTTCTAGCTTAAGACGCTGGGACTAGGTCTCTCTAGCTATCCAGAGGCCTCTACCTACCAGCTCAGTTAACCATGAAAGCGATGCACGTACACACCGCCTTCAAGTGGAGCGTGACTAAGACCTAACACCCGGCGGCGATGTCTATACTCAAAGCTGTCTGAAGCCCTTCCATACACAGGGGTGGTTAAAAGCAGAAATAAACCCCATCTCCTCATGGCTAGTCACTGTGAAAAGCATGCGCGAAGCAATTGACGGCAGGGTTAAGGATTCAGCTTGCTAGTGTCCGAGGGGACACTAACAAGATCCTTTAGCCTCATCCACCAGAGGGTGGGCCTCTGCGACCGGGTCTCCAGGAACACGTTCCTCCATCACCAGACAAGGGGTTGTAACCTAGGGCGGGAGAGGAAGCAGGGTATTATCAGCGGCTGAAAAACCCGGGAGCATTTTCTATCCAAATAAACGAGCCTGACCCGTAAACCATAGCCGAGGTATGGATTCTAGCCTCACAGACATGTTCAAGTGGCTGTTAGCTACCCTAAGAAAACAACAACTAGGGCCAGCAGATACATGGTGGTGAAGGTGCTGGACTGTGGTTCGAGTCCTGGACCTGGTGACTTGCTTTCTCAGTTTTCCTTTCTTTCTCTCTCTCTGGCCAAACAATGATAAATGAAATAAAATAAATAAATCCTTGGGCAGGCAGGTGGCATGGTGAAGGTGGCTGGACTCCCACATGGCTGACCATGGTTCGAATCCCAGACTTGGCAGCTTGCTTTCTCACTTTCCTTCTCTCTCTCTCTGGTCAACTTCAAAAAAAAAAATTAAATAAGTAAAATAATGAATTTATTAATATAAATTATAATATAATATAAATATAATATAAAACAATTAATAAATGAAATAAAAATAATTCTTAAAAAAAAAAAAAAGTCCTTAAAAAAAAAAACACAAAAGAACAGGGACCAGTCCAGTCACGTCACTGGACTCCCACTTAGTTGACTGTAGTTCGAGTCCCAGACCTGGCGACTTAAAACACATTAGGTCTATGTGTGTGTGTGCCTGCCCAAAATCCCAAGAGGAGAATGGAAGAGAAGAAACTACAGCATGGTCACCCCCACTGGGGGGTGATTTCTAGTTTTCTGTCTCTGGAGGTTGTGAGCGTCTCTCCAGCGAGAGCACGTGCCTTATAGTAAAAAAAAAAAAAATCTCTCTCTCTCTAAAAAAAAAAAACCAACGAACCACAGAGAAAACGAAGCACCTTTATATTGTGTTTGCATTTTCCATGAAATTTCTAGTGAGAAAATAAGCCAGAAATCGAGAAGCCACCCCCCAGGGAGGATGGCTGTACCGCCATAATTCTTTCTCCATTCTCCTCCTGGGAGTTTGGGCACACATGCATATGCACCCAGCACGAGTTAGAAACCACCAGGTCTGGGACTTGAACTGTAGTCGATCACACGGGAGCCCGATACCTTAACCACTATGCCACCTGCTGGCCCCCAGAAGACAGATTTTTAAAAACAGAAACAGGTGGCCAGTAGGTGGTGTGGTGATGAAAGTGCTGGATCCTACATGGCCAACTCCACGGTTCAAGTCCTGGACCTGGTGACTTAAAAACATGCTGAACACGAACAAGCAGCTGGCAGAGTGGTTACGTTGCTGGATTCCCACACGGCCTACTGCGGTTTGAGTCCCAGACCCGGTGGCTTGAAACTCATGCCAGGCACGTGTGCGTGTGTGTCCAAGATCCCAGAAGAGAATGGAGGACAAGAAATTACAGTGTGGCCATCCTCCCTGAAGGGGGTGATTTCTTCCTTTCCTTCTATGTCTGTCTCTGCCTCTCTCTGGTGAATGCACACCCCCCTAAGGCAAAAACCTGTAAAAAACAAACCTGCATGTGTGTGCGTGCATGCCCCAAATCCAGGGGACAGCATGGAGATGGCACTACAGAGCAGCCATCCCCCCAGAGGCTGATTTCTCACTTTCTCTCTCTCTCTGGCAAGCGCATGCACCTTATGGCCAAAATCTAAAACAGAAAACAAAACAAAACAGGGACTGATGCCATAGTTTTGTGGTTAAGGGAGCTGGATCCCACACTGGCCGACCCAGTTCAAACCCCAGACCAGTGGCTTGAAAAACACACCCGGCCTGTTTGCCCAAATCCTCGTGCGATGGAAAACTGGAGAAAAGATGACGGTGTGACCACGCTCTATTATGCGGTCCCGTTCCCCCTTTGCCTCTCTGGTGAGCGCGTGTACCCTCTGGTGGTTCAAAAAAAAATCACAGCAGAAGGGAGCTTGTCATTTCTGCCAGGCACGGAACTGTGCCATCTGCGCCCTGCCCTCCCTCAGCCCCTCGGCTTCCCGTGGTCCACGCCAAGAGCGTGATGAGGCCCCACTGAGCTGATTGCTCCTGACTGACTGAGCAATCTTTGGGCAATAAATCCCCACAGCCCGATCTCCTCATTTGTGAAACCAGGCTAGTCAAGGCTCCCGGCTCAGGACGGCAGGGAATCCTTAACAGAGGCCAGCACGCAAGCTATCCTGCATGCCATTTTACTTCAGTTTTGCTCTAAGGCATGGGCACTCGTCAGAAAAGGAAAATGATGGGAACCAGCAGTTAGCGTAATGGCTGTGTCGCTGGACTCCCATGTAGTCGACCGTGGTTCGCGTCCCGGACCCGGTGGCTTAGAACTCACGCCGGGCGCGTGTGCGTGTGTGCCCAAGATCCCGAGAGGAGAATGGAGGAGAAGGGATTGCGGCGTGACAATCCCCCCTGGGGGGTGATTTCTCGCTTTCTGTCTCTATGTCTCTCTCTGTCTGTCTGGTGAGCTCACACACCCTATAGTGAAAACCTCTCCAAAAAAAAAAAAGGGAAAGTGATTAACTCCCCAGCAGAGTGGCCATACCACAATCCCATCTCTAGTCTCTTGTGATTTGGGGCACGCACACACACCCCCAGCATGATTTTTAAGCGGTAGGGTTTGGGACTTGAGCTACAGAGTTGGCCATGTGGGAGCCAGTGGTTTATTCACCACGCCACCTGTTGGCCAGCAAATGCATTACACGTTGTACCATGTCTACTGTTCCCCTCAAGATCATGGACATGAGCTCTCAAAATGGGCCTCTGCCGGGCATGGTGGCTGGCTACCTGCCCTACGGCAAAAACCTATGGAGGCTGGAGGATTGCAGCATCGAGTCCATCTCACTCTCTCTGTCTCGCTCAACGAGTGCACGATTCAAGAAAAAAGGGACCAGCAGTTAGCGTAATGCCTGTTGCTGGATTTCCATGTAGTCGACCGTGGTTCGCGTCCCGGACCCGGTGGCTTAAACTCACACCGGGCACGTGTGCGTGCGTCCCCAAGATCCCGAGAGGAGAATGGAGGAGAAGGGATTGCGGCGTGGCCATCCCCCCTGGGGGCTGATTTCTCGCTTTCTGTCTCTCTGTCTCTCTCTGTCTGTCTGGCGAACACACGTGCCCTATAGCAAAATTCTCTCCAAAAAAAAAAAAAATAGTTACATATTATTATTTTTTAATTTGACTATAGAGAAAGAGAAAGTGAGAAAGCAAGCTGCCAGGTCCAGGACTTGAACCACAGTGGGCCGTGTGGGAGTCCAGCACCTTAACCAGCACGCCACCTGCTGGCCCCGAATCTTGTTTCTGAAAGGTAACTATGTCCTACGAAGGTGCCGAGACTCTGTAACATCTGACATTTGGCGCTTACCGCCTCCTCGCAAAGGCTTCCTGTCGGGTTTCCGCTTCGGGACGGCGGCCGAGGTCGAAGGCCCAGGACTGTCATCCTCCTGTTTGAACACACACAGGTTAAGAGTCGGTGAAAACATCGTACTCGGAAAGAACTTGGGCTACTAGAACAATGCCAAGTCGGCCAAAGGCTCCGGGCACCTGAGGCTTGCGCGCGCTTCCTTTGTAACTCTTCCCTTCCTGCATGCTGTCCCACATTTCAATCTTCTGTCTCCTCCTCTCTTCTTCGAGCTGAGAAAACAATCACGGCACACAGGGACGGTCAGAAGCTGCCATCTTTCTCCAAGAAAATACACAGTTTTGACAATGCTTTTTTTTTTTTTCTTAAAGAATTATTTTACTGGGGCTGGCGGGTGGTGTGGTGGTTAAAGGTGCCGGACTCTCGCATGGCCAATCATGGTTCAAATCCTGGACCTGGGGGCTTGCTTTCTCACTTTCCCTCTCACGGTTCAAGTCCCGGACCCGGTGGCTTAAACTCACGCCGGGCGCGTGTGCGTGCGTGCCCAAGATCCCGAGAGAATAGAGGAGAAGGGATTGCGGCGTGGCCATCCCCTCCTGGGGGGTGATTTCTCACTTTCGGTCTCTCTGTCTCTCTCTGTCTTTCTGGCAAGCGCACGCACCCGATAAGAAAAAACCTCTCCAAAAAAAAGGGAATGATTTTACTTTATTTATTTATTTTTAATTTGGCCAGAGAGGGACAGCATGAATTAGAGAGATAGTGAGAAAGTGAGCCACCGAGCCCAGGACTTGAACTGTAGTTGGTCATGTGGGAGTCCAGAGCCCTTAACCACCATGCCACCTCCCTGCCCCTCTTGATTTAATTCTCAGGGCCGAGAGGTGGCGTAGTGGTTAAAGGCACTGGATTCCACATGGCTAACCATTTGGCAGCTTACTTTCTCACTTGCTCTTTTCACTCGCTTGTTCTGTCCCTGTCTGGTCAAATTTAAATAAATAAATACAGTTAAATAATTCTTAAAAAAAATTATTTAATTCTACTTATTATTATTTTTTAATTTGCTATAGGGCACATGTACTCACCAGAGACGGACAGAGAGAAGCAGCAAACCATCAACTCTGGGACTCAAACTGTGGCGGCCCATGTGGGAGTATAGTCCAGTGCTGTAACCATGCTACCTGCTGCTCCATAAAATGACCACTGCGGACCAGCAGTTGGCATAATGGCTATGTTGCTGGACTCCCATGTAGTCGACTGAGGTTCGAGTCCCGGACCCGGTGGCTTAAACTCACGCGAGGTGCGTGTGTGTGCGTGCCCAAGATCCAGAGAGGAGAATGGAGGAGAAGGGATTGTGGCGTGGCCATCTCCTCGAGAGGTGATTTCTCGCTTTCTGTCTGTCTGTTTCTCTGACAAGTACACATACCCTATAGCAAAAATCTTCCATCCCCCCTCAATAAATAAATAACAGAAGTTACTAATAGGTACAGAGGTGCATGTGACCCTGGAGAGGCACAGGGAGGACCAACAGCACGAGCAGATTCCCTCGCTGCAGAGGTGGTGTTCTGAGAAACGTCTGGGCTGACCCCAGAAAGCAGAAGTTACACTTTGTCACAGTGGGAGCAGGGCAGGGCAGAGCTGGTGGGTGAGTCCACTCCCTCCCGTGAGAAGCGGGACTCTTCCCCTGGCTGCTCACGACAATCCTCGGTTCTTCCTGCTCCCTCACCTCCTACTGCCCCCGAACCAAACCCAGTGCCCCCCTTTTTTTTCCCCCTAAGAAATATTTCATTTGGGGCCAGCAGGTGGTGTGTTGGTTAAGGTGTTGGAATTCCCACATGCCTAACTGCCTTTTGAGTCCTGGACCTGGTGGCTTGCTTTCTTACTCTCCCTCTCTCTGTCTTTCCTTGGCAAAACTCATGTGAAATAATAAATAAATAAATATTTTTAAATTAATCTTATTTATTATTATTGTTCTTACTATTTATTTTTTGGAGGGGTTTTTGCTATAGGGCGCGTGCGCTCGCCAGAAAGACAGAGAGAGACAGAGAGACAGAAAGCGAGAAATCACCCCCAGGGGGGATGGTCACGCCACAATCCCTTCTCCTCCATTCTCCTCTCGGGATCTTGGGCACGCACGCACATGCGCCTGGCGTGAGTTTTAAGCCACCGGGTCTGGGACGCGAACCGCGGTTGACTGTGTGGGAGTCCAGTGACATAGCCATTACGCTAACTGTTGGCCCCTGTTCTTACTATTTTTTAATTTGACTAGATTGAGACAGAGAGAAAGAGGAAGTGAGAACACAAGCTGCCAGGTCCAGAACTTGAACCAACCACCGTCAGCCATGTGGGAGTCCAGCATCTTAACCACCATACAACCCCCGGGCCACCAAATCCAGTGCCCTAAAATCTTTCAGGGCCAGCCAGCAGATGGCGTGGTGGTTGCTGGACTCCCACATGGCCGACAGTGGTTCAAGTCTCCTATCTGTTGGCTTGAAAATCACGTTAGATGCACGTGCACGCGTACCCAAGATCCCGGGGACGGAATGGAGAAAGGACTGTGGTGTGGCCATCCCCCGGGGGGAAATTTCTCGCCTTTTCTCTCACTCTGTGTCTCTCTCATGGGCCCTATGGCATAAACTTCTAAAATAGGGACTGCAGGAGGTGTCGTAATTGCAGGCACTGAATCCCACATGACCGACCATAGTTCAAGTCCCAGGCCTGGTGGGACTTTCTCACTTTTTCTCTCTCCTCTGTCTCTCTCTGGTCCAACTGCAAAATAATAATAAAATTAAAATAAAATGATTCTTTAAAAAAAAATGAAAGGAAACCTCTAAAATAAACAAATAAAATAAAATAAAATAAAAATCTTCCAGGGCCCACTAGTGGCATGGTGGTTAAGCGGCTGGATCTCACATGGCTAGCTGCGTGGTTCGAGTCTCAGACACAGTGTCTTGAAAGCGCGTATCCCAAAATCTCAAGAAGAGAATGGATTATGGCTGGTCAGGTGCTTTCTCACGTCTCGTCTGTCTCAATCCAGTGAGCACACATGCCGTATAGCAAAAAAAAAAAATAAATAAATAATTTACTAAAAGAGTATTTTCCTTTTAAACAGTAAGAAATCATGCTGACCAATCCCCAGCTAAGTGGAAGTGACTCTGTTACAATCAGATGTCCCCAATACCCACCCCGATGGGGCAGGGCTCACAAATTCACCCAGCACACACTCTGCCCCTAGTCTGTCCCTCTTCTGTGCCCTGTACCACCTCTCATTATATTACACTCATACATCTAAACTTCCCTAACACAGTATTTTTCTTGATTACAGAGCAATATACATATTTCTTTTTTTTTTTTTCTTTTTTTGGGAGAGATTTTCACTGTAGGGCGCGTGCGCTCGCCAGACAGACAGAGAGAGACATAGAGACAGAAAGCGAGAAATCACCCCCCAGGGGGGATGATCACGCCGTAATCCCTTCTCCTCCATTCTCCTCTTGGGATCTTGGGCATGCACGCACATGCGCCCGGCGTGAGTTTTAAGCCACCGGGTCCGGGACACGAACCGCGGTCAACTACGTGGGAGTCCAGCGACATAGCCATTATGCTAACTGCTGGTTCCCAGCAATATACATATTTCTTTTATATGAGATTTTTGCTATAGAGTGCATGTGCTTGAAGGACAGACAGAAAGCTAGAAATCACCCCCAGGAGGGATGGCCATGCTGTAATTCCTTCTCCTCCATTCTCCTCTTAGGATTTTGGGCACACACGTACATGCGCTCAGCATGAATTTCAAGCCACTGGGTCCAGGACTCTAACAGGCGATTGGCCACGTGGTAGTCCAGTGCCTTAACCACTACGCCACCTGCTGGCCCCTCCAACCAATAGTTACAAGAAGCACTAAAAACTTGAAGGACCAGCAGGTGGCATGGTGGTTAAGGTGGCTGGACTCCCACATGGCGGACAGAGGTTCGAGTCCCAAACTTGGCAGCTTGTTTTCTCACTTTTCCTCTCTCTCTCTGCTTCTCTCTGGTCAACTTAAAAAAACAAACAAACAAACAAACAAAAACAAGCAAAATAATGACAACGAATAAAATTAAATGAAAAACAACTTGTTAAAGCCGATGGGCTAGGACCCTCTCCTAGAAACTGCAGTTTATTACATGCCCGAACACAGGTGCTGTTACTAAGCGCAAAGGTTTTTTTTTTTTTTTCTTTGGAGAGATTTTCACTGTAGGGCCCGTGCGCTCGCCAGACAGAGAGAGAGAGAGAAAGCGAGAAATCATCCCCCAGGGGGGATGGTCACGCCGCAATCACCTTCTCCTCCATTCTCCTCTCAGGATCTTGAGCACGCACGCACACGCGCCCGGCGTGAATTTTAAGCTACCGGGTCCGGGACACGAACCGCGGTCGACTACGTGGGAGTCCAGCGACATAGCCATTACACTAACTGCTGGTTCCCTAAGCGCGAAGGTTCTTGAGACGGCATATTCAAACTCCGACCTGCTCATACCTGTCTTAGCTTTTCCTTGTGCTTTTCGACTTGTGCGTTCAGTTCTTCTTGCATTTTCAAACGAGCAGCTGCTAACGCCTCTTGCCGTTTAACAACCACATCAGGTTCTAAAATAGCAGAAAAAAAATTGGTATGAAGCACCTTGCGTGATAATGGCACATCCAATGACAACTGTCAGTGCCCATAGCATGAGAAGCCTGAAGAGGGACAGAGAGTGGACAGCGAAAAAGGATGTGTTTTTACAAGACTATTTATATCCATTTTGCATGCAGTTTATTGCTTAAACAGGCAGTAAACTGTCCCTTAGCTATTATTTTTTGAGAGACTTTTGCTATAGGGTGCATGTGCTCGCTGCAGAGAGAGACAGAGACAGAGAGACAGAAAGTGAGAAATCATCCCCAGAGGGGATGCCCACACTGCAATCCCATTTCCTCTTATCCTCCTCTCGGGATTTTGGGTACGCACGCACACGCGCCCAGTGTGTTTTAAGCCACCAGGTCCGGGATTCGAACTGAGGTTGACTACACGGGAGTCCAGCAATATAACCATTATGCTAGCTGCTGGTCCGCTTAACACTCAATATCCATATTACTGGATTATTATTAGAAATGGAGATTTGGGGGCTGGCAGGTAGTGTGCTGGCTAAGGCACTGGACTACTATACGGCCAACTATAGTTCAAGTCCTGGACCTGGCAGCTTGCTTTCTCACATTCTGTCTGTCTCTGATGAGTGTAAGTGTCTTATGGCAAAAAAAATGAATAGTAATAATAAATTAAATTATATTAAATAATTCTTTAAAAAGAAAGAAAGAGGGGCCAGCAGGTGGTGTGGTTGTTAAGGGTGCTGGATTCCCACATGACCCACCACGGTTCAAGTCCCAGACCTGGTTGCTTGCCTTCTCCCTTTCCCGCTCTCTCCCTCTGTCCCTCTCTGGTCAAATTTAAATAAATAAATAAAGATAAATAAAATAATTCTTACAAAGAAAGAAAGAGAGAAAGAAAGAGAGAAAGACAGGCAGGCAGGCAGATTTCTGGGCTCTTCCCAGAAATTCCAATTCACAGGTCTTCATTTTAATCCAGTAAGTGAAAAACCATTCAACTAGATTTGTATTGAATGTTCTATGCAGCACCAGGCAGGCTGTTCTAGCTCATTAAATCTCTAAAATTAAAAAAAACGAAAAAATTGCTCACGTATCAAAATCAATTTCAGAAGTATAAACTGTTTTCTCCCATGCAAATACAAATCATATTCTTCTTCTTACTCTTCATAACCGATTAACGTTTCGACACTAAAAGTTGGCGTGGCATTGCCACCCTCGTTCCTGGTCCCCCCGGGGGCTGCGGCTCGATCCAGCTGCCTCTGCCTCAAGGCTCTCAGGCGGGTGGACAGCTTCTGAAACAGCACGTAGAGGACGATGCAGCTGAAGACGATGTACCAGCCGTAGGTGGCCAGCAGGGAGCCCACTGAAAAGACAAAAGCCGATTTCCAAGAAACCGCCAGGGACACCACTCTATAGTTGACTTTTCCAAAAACCTAACAAAAAATACAAAACGAGTGTAGCTCCTGCCCTCCAGATCGTCACGGTTTCGCTAAAGCAAAGCCCTCCTACTCAGGGCAGATAAAATGTGAGCGAGACGTGCAACAATTCAGGCATCATTGAAAAGGGCGGCTTTTCCACCATCTGGGGAGTACGGAGGACGAAGGGCAGGGCAGCTGGGTTTTGTGGGATGAAGAGGAGCTTGGAAGGAAGTTTCTAAGACGAGCAAAAGCCTTTCGGTCTAGGGAACCACGTATAAAAGGGTGACAGCGCGGGAGGTAGGAGCGTTTGGAGGGATGTGTGGGAGAAGCCTGAAGGCACTCATCAAGGTCCAAGCGACCCCAGGATCCGCAATCAAGCGCCCACCGGCGCCGCCCAGGGTGATGCGGTTGCAGGGGAGCGAGGACACAGCGCGGTCCCGGCCTGCGCCCCGGACTTGCGTGCGGCCCCAATGGCCGGCTGCGAGCCTCCCAGGCCGGGGCTCAGCACCCAGAGAGGACGACCCACCGAACATGGCGGCGCATCGAGAAGCGGACGGCGCGAGGCCGCGCGGCCCGAAGCGACTCACCCGTGACGTGCAGGAAGCGCAGGCCCTCGGTCTCCAGCGCCGGCCGCGCGGACAGCTGCTCCCCGTCCCGCTCCATGGCCGCAGCCGCCGCCCGGCTCGGCCGCGTCGCCTTCTGCCAGGCACTTCCGGTCTCCTCCTACGTATACGTGGCGCGCCAGGACGCAACCGCGGTCTCGGCCAATCGCGACTCGCCGCGCCTTGGGTTCGGCCTATCACAGAGGGGGTGTGGCTAGGGGCGGGGCGGGCGAGACGGACTTCCGCCCAAGGCTCGCTGGAGCCGGCGCTGGAGCAGCTGCTCCCATTCTGGCCGGAGGGTGGACGGCTGACCTGATTTCTTACCATAGTTTACCTTTTGGCTGATTGGACACGAGGCTAAGGAGCTTAAGGGCCAACGGGACACAGGAATGGCGCCCACATCCTTGCCCCCGGGCACATTGGGCAACAAGGCTGAGGCCGGCCACTCCCAGCTGTGAGGTTGCAGCTGACGTCCGCCCCCATGAAGCTGTGACCATGTGACCACGAAATAGGACAGCCGCCGCCACCTGCTAGTGGCGTTACCTTTCACACCTTTCAGCCCAGTTAATCCCCGCGGATCCTCGAGTCTCCAGAATCAAAACGGGCCCAGCGAGTGGCATGGTGGTTAAGAGCGCTGGACTCCCACAAGGCCGACTGTGGTTCAAATCCCAGACCTGGCAGCTTGCTTTCTCACTTTCTCTGTCTTTCTCACTCTGCTCCTCTCTGGTCAAAATAAAATAAGTAAATAAATAAATAAATGTTAAATAAAATAATTCTTAAAAAAAAAATGTCTCGGGAAAGAATGAGCACACCGTGAAGGCGCCAACCTGTGTTGAGTCTCTGTATTATTACAAGTCGTGATCACAATTATTTATCACTGTACCCTGGCTTCCCCTGCCTGCAATGCCCGCTTTTACCACTTTCTGCTAAAATGTCACTACCTCTACGGTGACTGTAACCAGCACGGTATTTGAAATTTAAATCTGATCTTGAAAAATATATATATATATATGTATTTTTTTTTTTTTTGGAGAGGTTTTTGCTATAGGGCTCCTGTGCTTGTCACAAAGACAGAGAGACAGACAGAGAGCAAGAAATCACCCCCCAGGGGGGATGGTCATGCCGCAACCTCTGCTCCATTCTCCTCTCTGGGATCTTGGGCACGCACGCACACGCACCCAGCGTGAGTTTAAGCCACCGGGTCCGGGACTCAAACCGCAGTCGACTACATGGGAGTCCAGCCACATAGCCATTATGCCAACTGCTGCTGGTCCCTAAAATTCTTTTTTTTTTTTAATTATTTATTGTTTTAAAATTTTTAAACTTATTATTCTTCAATGTTGACCAGAGAGAGACAGACACAGAGAAAGGGAGAATGAGAAAGGAAGCCGCCAGGTTCAGGACTTGGAACTGTGGTCGGTTATGTGGGAGTCCAGTGTCTCAGCCACCATGTCACCTGCTGGCCCTTGTTGTGTAAAATTCTCAGTTCTTTGGGTACAAATCTGTGAGATTAGAGACCCACCCTAAAACACAAAATGAAAGACCACAAGCAGCTATAAAGTAGGAAAACAAAAGTTTTTTTTAATCATTATTTTAATTTTATTTATTTATTTATTTATTTATTTTAATTTGACCAGGGTGTGTGCACTTGCCAGAGAGACAGAAAGCAAGAAATCATCCCCCAGGGGAGATGGCCTTTCTCCTCCCTTCTCCTCTCAGGATTTTGGGTACATACGCACACACACCTGGTGTGAGTTTCAAGCTGCTGGGTCCAGGACTCAAACAGAGGTGGAGTCCAGCGATGTAACCATTACGCCATCTGCTGGCCCCTACATTTTTAAAAGAGAATTTTGCTATAGGGTGCATGTGCTAGCCAGAGAGACAGAGAGATAGAAAGCGAGAAATCACCCCCCCCGGGGGATGGCCACACCACAGTCCCTTCTCCTCCAGTCTCCTCTCAGTATTTTGGGTACACACATATACACACCCAGTGTGAGTTTTCAGCAAGTGCACACACCATATAGCAAAAACCTAAAAAAAATGAAATTACGAGACCAGCAGATGGCGTGGTGGTTAAGGCACTGGACATTCCCACATGGCTGACCACGGTTTGAGTCCAGGATCTGGTGGCTTGCTTTTTCACTCTCTCTCTCTAGTCAAATTAAGACAAAATAAATGAATAAATAAAATAAAATTAAAATAAATTAAATGTACTGGGGCCAGTAGGTGGCATAGTGGCTAAGGCACTGGACTCCCACCTGGTGGCCACAGTTCAGGTCCCGGACTTGGCAGCTTAAAAATCATGCAAGGGGGACCAGCAGTTGGCATAATGGCTATGTCGCTGGACTCCCATGTAGTCAACCGTGGTTTGAGTCACAGACCTGGTGGCTTAAACTCACGCTGGGCGTGTGTGCGTGCGTGCCCAAGATCCCGAGAGGAGAATGGAGAAGGGATTGTGGCGTGGCCGACCACCCCCCTCCCCCGGGCATGATTTCTTGCTTTCTGTCTTTCTGGCAACTGCACGCGCCCTAGAGCAAAAACCTGTCAAACACAAAACAAAACAGAAAACCAGGAACGGAGCAATAGAAAGGATTGTGTGGTTGAGGGTAACTCTGCTGAGCCAACGCCAGCAGAGGGGTGTGCTGGGGTGGCCGGGATCTGGCACCAGAATGCCTCAGCCTGCGTCCCAGGAGAGCCAGGCCACCCCGCCAGGTCCTCCGCACAGAAACGCTGCTTCTCTGCTCCTCTCCCATCACGGTGCGAGTGAGATCATACCTTTCTCATTCCCCATCATTCATTCATTCCTCTGTGTGTAGGTTACAAAGGTCAAAAGACGCCATCATGGATGGCCTAAAACCTGGCTGCCCTTTCTGAAAATTTTGAAATGTAATAAGCTGTCTGTGGAGGCTGGGAAGCCCTTTTTTTTTTTAAAAGAGATTTTTGCAATAGGGCACGTGCACTCACTGGAGACAGAAAGGGAGAAATCACGTCCCGGGGGGGATGGCCACGCTACAATACCTTCTCTCCCATTGTCCTCTTGGGGTCTTCATTGTACACACACAGACTCAAACCACAGTCGGCCACGGGGGAGCCCAGCACCTCAGTCACTACGCCACCTGCTGGCTGATGTTAACGCCACCTCCCGCATTCCCAGCCCGCACCGCCCTGCATCCCTCCCGCATTCCCAGCCCGCACCCGCCCTGCATCCCTGCAAACACACGCTGACAGCAGCCTGGCGCACTGAGTGGCCTTTATTTTTCGAATGTGTAGAAAACGGACAGGTAGCCTTCCAAGGGTATATTACAAGGTGACCCGCAGCACCCATAAGCACTCCGACCATGCCGCTGGGCTGCGCTGTGCCGACACAGACGTGGCTACTCCATGCTGGAAACGCAAGACTCGCCCCGAGGAGGGCTGTCATCACCCGGCTGACGCACCGCTCAGGACCCGTTCGCGACGGTGTCCTCTTCCATCTCTTCTTCGCCGTCATCAGTGGGCCCTGGGGAGAACCGCGAGACCAGAAGTCGTTAGCTGCTCTGCGGCTCCCGTGTGCCGGGCCCTGATGCTGGCAGCAGCCTCTGCACCTGAGGGCGCCAGGGTCCGGGGACAGCCTGTCTTAGGCAGGTACGGGAAGGTGCTGTTTCCTCTCGGGGTTTCGCGCATGCACACAGGCCGCTGGGACTGGGGATGGAAAAGCAGGTGACCACGTGGGATCTGGCTCCTTTACCCACTAGGGTACAGGGCTAGCCAGGGGATGTGGTGATGGTAGTTTCGTAAAGGTTCGTTTGCTATATCAGGTCTGAAGCTGTATCAACCAACTTTTCACTCTCTTACTTCAAAAGCCACAGCTTTATCTTGTGCCATGAACGGCTCGCTCACTCAGGCATGATTCTAGAACATCATGTGGAAAACAAGATCACTGGGTGACGCACGCCTTCCAGGTACTGGGCCGTTTCGCTACATGACACCCAAAGAGCACACCCGCTGATAACACCACTGCTCTCCCCAGACAAGCTGTGGGCACTGGGCGTCTGCAGGGTGCACTGATGGGTACGAGTCTTCCAAACTTGAATTTGGCCTTGAAATCGTAAATTCCACCCTTGCCACAGCTACTATCAATTGTTTTCCTTCAAGTGACACGTTTGTGGGACATTTATGTCTGAGAAGGAACCTCCTTTTAAACTCAAAACATCTGTGCCAGTGTCTGGGCATAACCACCCGTGCAGGCACACGTGTGTGCTCCATGGGTGCCCCATCCTCACTCGGATCGTTATCAGTTCTAACTTGGAAAGTACACTGGCTACGTGTGTGCTCAAAATTTTGAGAAGGACCAGAAGTCGGTGTGATAGCTATGTCACTGGACTCCCATGTAGTCAATAGCGGTTCAAGTCCCAGACTCAGTGGCTTAAACTCATGCCAGGTGTGTGTGCATGCGTGCCCAAGATCCCGAGAAGAGAATGGAGAAGGGATTGCGGTGTGGCCATCCCCCTGGGGGGTGATTTCTCAATCTCTGTCTCTCTGGGGAGCTCCATGCCCTATGGCAAAAATCTCTCCAAAAAAAGAGAATAATTTTAAGAGGAGACAGGAGAAAGGATCAGAGGCCTGGCCATCCCTCTGGGGTGATAGTGGAGGCAGGTGGTTAAGGAGCTCGATTCGTACATGGCCAACCACAGTGTGAGTCCTGGACCTGGTGGTTTGCTTTCTCACTTTTTCTTTCTCTCTCTGGTCAAATTAAAAATAACAATGACAGATAAAATTAAACAAATAATTCTGTTTTTGTTTTTTGGGTTTTTTTTTTTTTTTACAGACAGATTTTTACTACAGGGTGCATGCGCTTGCCGGAGAGATAGAAAACGATAAATCAGCTCTTGGGAGGATGGCCATGCTGCAATCCCTTCTCCAATCTCCTTGGTTGACTCGGTGGAGTTCAGTGATGTAACCATTCTGCCACCTGCTGGTCCCTAAATAAATTTTTCTTTTTGGTTTAAAAAAATCTTTAATGGAGTCTGTGCTCAAATAGTACGTTACAACAAATATATACAGAATGTACACAATACAAAACGATTTAGAAACAAACGCTGCAGCTTGTGGTCGATTTTGTTCCACTTACTCAAATCCTCCAAGGGGCAGCTCACTATTAAGCAATAAATAATTCTTTAAAAAAATAAATAAATAAATAAAGAGAAAGAAAAAGAAAGAGAAAAAGTCTCCCTCATTTTTGGCTCTCAGCTCAGATTCTTTTTCCAGGAACTCTCCCCTGCCCCGCCAGTCTAAGGGAAGTGCCCGGTCCCGTCCACATCACACTGTCACACGCACTTACAGACTTTAATCTCGGGCCATTTGCTGCCTCCCACAAGGCAGCACCCAGAGATTAGAATGGGGACTAGTCCCCGAACTACGAGTTAGCAAACACCTGCTGGTGAAGTGCAGGACCCTGGGACTCCCGACCATCTGTTGAGGTGGCTACTAACTCAGATTCTCTAGTGAGGAAACAGATTCTAAGAAACTTGCCCCAGACACAGAAGGTAAAGCTGAGAGATCGAATCTCAGGCTGTGGGGCTCTGCAGCCTGCTCGAGGTCACGTGGTTACCTCTAGTACCTGGTTTGCATCACAGCTACGTCATGTTGGCTTCAACTTTTACATAAAAAACCCTCATAGTCCCATGACTTAACTTTCCTGTCTTCTCTCTCTCTCTTTTTTAGCTTTTGCTACAGGGGACGTGTGCTCACCAGAGAAGGGACAGAGACAGACAGGGAAAGTGAGAAATCACCCCCTAGGAAGGAACAGCTGCACTGCAATCCCTTCTCCTCTATTCTCCTCTCGGGGTTTTGGGCACACACGCACACGCGCCGGTGTGATTCCATGCCGCCAAGTCTGGAACTCGAACCATATAGCGGGCCATGTGGGATCCGGCGCTTTAACCTCCACACCACCTGCTGGCCCCTTAACTTTCTTTACCAAGTACTAGATCTTCCAAGAGCATCTGAAAGGATTTCGTACATGAGATTTGCTGGTAAGGGCACAATTCTGGCATTCTCAGACCGCAGCAGCAAAACTGCTTTGCGAACGCGTTCGGCGGGACACAGATCTGGACGTACAAACAGGGACGGCCGTTTTCCTGACCTGATCTGCGTTCTCTGCCGGGTATCTGACCAGACTGCAGCAAGCCCTTCAGCCTCTCCACTTCGGCCAGAGTCGATGCATTCGCTATGGCGTTCTGGAGGAGAGAGGGCAACAAAGAGGGACAGCTACAATTAAGGATCAGTCATTTAGAAAACTCCCATGGAAATTCTTAGCAACTTTCCTTTTCGTTTTAAAGACTTTTTTTCTTTTGGCCATATGGTGTGTGTGAGACAGAGAGAAAGTGAAATTCCCCCCGCCCCAGGGAACGGCCACACTGCAGTTCCCTCTCCTCCAGTCCACTCCTGGGATTTTGAGCATGCGTGTATATGTACCTGGTGTGATTTTCATGCCACTGGGTCTGGGGCTCAAACCACGTGGGAGTCCAGCTCCGTAGCCACTGGCCAATTTTTTTTTTTTTTAAAGATTTATTATTAGAGGAGCTGGCAGGTGGCATAGTGGTTAATGTGCTGGAATTCCCACATGGCTGACCACAGTTTGAGTCCCAGACCTGGCGGCTCTCTCTCTTTTTCTGGCAAAAATTATGTGGGAGAACACACACACACACATTTATTACTGAGGTGGCAGACGGTGTAGCAGTTAGAGTGCTGGACTCCCACATGACTGACTACAGTTTGAGTCCTGGACCTAGTGGCTTCAAACTCATGGTGTGTGCATGCCCAGGACCCTGGGAGGAGGATGGACTGCATGGCCACTCCCTCGGGGGCGATGTCTCACTCCTTTCTCAGTGTCTCTGTTTCTCCCTCTCTAGTGAGGACACACATCTAAGGCAAAAATTTCTTTTTAAAAAAAAAAAAAGAATTATTGGGACCAGCAGGTGGCGTGGTGGTTAAGGCGCTGAACACTCCCACATGGCCGACCAGAGTTCAAGTCCTGAATCTGGTGGCTTGCTTTCTCACTTCCTCTCTCTCTCTCACCCTCTGTCTCTCTCTGGTCAAACTAAAAAAAAAAATAAATGAATGAATAAATAAAATAAAATAATTTAAAAAAAGAGAATTATTTCATTTAACAACTCAAGCAATCAACTCAAGTCAAAGTCTAGTAAAAACGTATTCAACTTCAAGCCAGTTTTTGCTTAAACAGAAATATGGCTGGATTTAAACTGGAAAACGGGAACCTGCCACGTTCGGAGCGTGGCGTACCACACAACTGCGCACCTACGCCCAGCTCAGCTCTGGGCCCCAGGGCCCGGCACGTGCTTACCTTGATGGCCTCCACGTCCCCCGGGGAAGGCCCGCCCTTCTTCTTGTCAGTCGGCAAGCCAGCACCTGGATTAAAACTGGAGAGGAGGGAAGGGCGGGACTGTTAAACCCAGACTCCTGGTGGCTGCTTCTCTTTTACTTTCAAAAAGCTTTTGAAAGTAATTCAACCAGTGTAGTATCTTATCTTTGTTAACAAACTGATACAAGAACCCTCTCCTTCAGAAACACCGCCCAGGCCACCTTCCCAGGGAGGAAGGAGGACGTATGTAATAAAGCGTTAAGACCCGATACTGAGCTATTTGCTCGGCGAACCTGGCCGGATTTCAATGGCTGCGGGAACCACTGATGGCCAGAGACCACCAGCGCTCCAATTTAATACGCACTAGTCGGTTTTCTGCGTAATTTAGGAGGAGGCCGACGGCCGGACAGAGAGTGTTTCTGAAGGTGAAGTGGAGTGAGGTTGGATATCTGTATCTTACGTTTTGCTTCTCCTGGCAATATCCTTTGCAAGCTGTGCACCCCGTTTGCCCTTGAACATTTTCTCTGCTTCCTGACGCTCCTACAGCGACACCACACACAGAGTTAATGGAAATAGGGACACCACGTGCATTCCGATGCATTCCCCAGAAAACACGGAAGAGACCGCTCCGGTAACACCCGAGGCTAGTAACGGCACCAAAGCGCCGAGTTTAAACCAGGGAGAGACACCGTAACCTGGCCTTTCCTGGTGAAGCTCCCCAAAGAAGCCCCCTTCCCTAGTTTCAAGGAACTAAGAGCATATTTTAAAAAAAGGAAAAGAAGAGGCCAGCAGGTAGCATGGTGGTTAAGGTGCTGGACTCTCATATGGCTGATCATGGTTCTAGTCCCGGACCTCGTGACTTGATTTCTCTCCCTCTCTGGTGAGTGCATATGCCCTAGAGCAAAGTTTAAAAATAAATAAATAAATAATTCTTTAAAAAAATAAAAACAACAGGGAACCAGAAGTTAGCGTAATGGCTATGTCGCTGGACTCCCACATAGTCGACTGTAGTTCACGTCCCGGACCCGGTGGCTTAAAACTCACGCCAGGCGTGCGTGCGTGCGTGCCCAAGATCCTGAGAGGAGAATGGATTGCGGCGTGACCATCCCCCCTGGGGGGTGATTTCTCGCTTTCTGTCTCTATGTCTCTCTGTCTGGTGAGTGCACGCGCCCTATAGCGTAAACCTCTCAAAAAAAAACCAAAACAAAACAAAACAAAAAACAAAAAAAAAACACCCAGAAAAACAAAGAGCTCCCAATAAAGGGAAAAACTGTTTTCTTTTTTTGAAAAACAATTTTTAAAAGGAACATTTTTACCAGAGGGAACACGTGCTTGCCAAAGGATTCACAGAGAGAACACCACCCGACGGGTACGGCCACACCGTCTGGCCTCCTGCGTGTCCCCATCCTATTGGGATTCTGGGCATGCGCGCACAGGTGCCAGGTGTGTTTTTCATGTTGACAGGACTGGGGTTCAAACTGCAGTCAGCCACATGGGATCCAACTCCCTTAACCATTCGACCACTGGGTCAGCCCCAGGAAAAAAATCATTCTAACCACCACAGCCACGCAAAAATGAGCAATGTGAAGCTCCCACTGGGAATGTATCCAAGCACTCCCTGTGCCTCTCCCATTCTGCTAACTTTGGCATGGCCCTCAGCATATAAAAAACATTTAACTTCAAGTTCTCCCACAAGCTCTGCTAGGAGGGAAAAAAACCCTGATGTAACACGTTTCCCACATCCTTAGTATACAAGAATTGAAAACCCACTAGTAAAAGCATGACAAAAACGCACCACTCTACGACAACGCGCAACCCACGGGGCACACTTACTTTTAGCTTCACTTTCTGGAAATCCAGCACTCTGACTTGTGGCACTTTGTAGATCACGTAGAGTCTGTAATGCTTCTTGTTTGTCACAGGGTTCCGCAGAATACTGCGAGAAAAGGGACAGAACCATGACGACCTCATCCACGGCCCACCGTTCCAGAGGAGGGCCCCCTGAACGGTCTGAGTGACTCTACGGTCCCCGGGACCACTACTCTTTGCACTCCCATGTCACCGCAACTCAAGGCACGCTGACGATGCATTTCTGACCTTTGCTTGTAACAGTTCATTCTTTTTCTCCTTTTTCTTTTTCTAAATGACTGCGTTAAGGTCAAGGCTGACAAAGGTGTGTGTTACTCTGAATGAAAGGGTTTTGTCACCACAGCGAAGCGTGTCCATACCTTAGATACGTCAGGGATTTGAGAGACGCCAAGGGGTCCAGATCACCCTGGAAAACAACAGCCATGGGTAAGACCAACACCACGCGCTACTCTTTTTTTTTTTTGAGCTTACCAATAGGCATGTGCGGTTGTCAGAGAGTGGAGAGAGAGAGAGAGAGAGAGAGAGAGAGAGAGAGAGAGAAAGCACCCCCGGGGACAGCCATGCCACAATCCCTTCTCCATTATCATCCCAGGATCTGGGGCATTTACGCTCAAATAATTTCTCAAGTATGAGAAATGGTACAGTTAAAAAACAAAACCAAAAACAACCCCCACCCCTGCCCCAGACCAGCCGGTGGTGTGATGGCTGAGGCACCAAGACTCCCACATGGCCTACCATGGTTTGAGCCCGGGACCTGGCGGCTTGAAAATCACGTCCTGTGTGCACATGTGCCCAAAATTCCAGCAGGAAAATGGAGAAGGGATTGCAGTGTGGCCATCCCCTCTGGGGGGGACTTCTCTTTTTTTTGGGAGAGGTTTTTGCTATAGGGTACATGCGCTCGCCAGACAGACAGAGAGAGACAGAGAGACAGAAAGCGAGAAATCACCCCCCAGGGGGGATGGCCACGCCACAATCCCTTCTCCTCCATTCTCCTCTCGGGATCTTGGGCATGCATGCACACGTACCTGGCATGAGTTTAAGCCACCAGGTCTGGGACTCAAACTGCGTTCGACTACATGGGAGTCCAGCAACATAGCCATTACGCTAACTGCTGGTCCCTGGAGGTGACTTCTCAACCCCGCCCCCCACACACTCCATCTCTCTCTCTCTCTCTCTCTCTCTCTCTGGTGAGCTCACGCACCCTCCAATGACGGCAATGACGACAATCTACAGAGAAAAGCAGGGGAGAACAGAGCAAGTTCTGTGCAACCTGCAAACACCTCGGGAACACCACCAGGGAGAGCTGTAGAGTCTCATACACACACACACACACCCCAGCATGGAGGCTCGGAGAGAAATGACCAAGAGCCGTCACTTTCACGACACAAATGCATGCACGGAGTACAACATGATGATGTAACGCCAGGCTTTTGCAGACAGGATACTACCTAAGTTGGGGCAGAGGGGCACTGATACGGCAAAGGCCACTGTTATGTTGTACTGTTTGGGAGGGTAGCGATGTTGGTGGACGTTAAACTTTGATAAATAGGCATATCTTTTTTTTAAAGGTGATTGCCACAGAGCCCATGCGTTCACCAGAGACAAAGTGAGAAATCACTCATAAAGGATGGGATGGCCATGCTGCAATCCCTTCTACCCCATTCTCTGGGGGTTTCAGGCATGCACACACACCCCCAGCGTGATTTTCAAGCTGCTGGGTCCTGGACTTCAGACCACAGTTGGCCTGTGAGTGCCTTAAGCACTATGCTACCTGCTGGCCCCAAATGTGCATGTTTGAGCTCCTGGGTTTGCAAGAGCAGAGAGTAAATAATTCCTAGACTGTCAGAAGAAAAATAGAAATGAATGAGAGAATAAGAGAGAGAGAAAGAGAGAAAACATGTGTGTCCATGCAAGTAAGAGTGCGCACCATAAAGAACAGAAAGAAATGAGAAATGTGTGGGGCAGATAGAAAACCACAGGGAAGAGAAAGTAAATCGGGGACTAGCAGATGGCGAATGGTTACATCGCTGGACTCCCACATGGGCAACCGTGGTTCAAGTCCCAGACCCAGGGACTGAAATCCTCACTGGGCATGTGTGCGTGTATGCCCCAAATCCCAAGAGTAGAAAAGGGAAGTGACTGCGGCATGGCCATCTCCCTGGGGGAATGATCTCTCACTTTCTGTCTCACTGTCTCTCTGACAAGTACATGCACCCTATGACAAAAATCTCTCTCTCTTAAACAAACAAACAAACAAAAAAGAGACAAAGAAAGAAAAAGATGCAAGGATGGCAATTTTCTGAGAATGTTCTGCATTTTCCAATTGTTCTATAAGAACCAAGTAGTCCCTTTAATCCCTCCCATCAAACACACCGTCCCCTGTTAAACTTACCAGTTCCAAAAGGCTGTTATTGGTGAGAATGAGCTCTGTCAGGCAGGGCAGGGCCTGGTCAAGCCCCTCACCTATACGGCTAGGACAGAAACACAGACTTCAGTGAAGCACGAATTGATCTTTTCCGAGGCTAGCTGCCTTCCAATGATGAAAGAACTTTAGAGCTCCTTCCTCCGACACCCCAAACAACGGAGGGCAAGTGGGGGAGGGAGAGAAAACGTCTCTGAATCCACCCACCGGGTCAGTGACGGAGGTCGGAGGACTGCATTATCTAGTCATTTACTTAATTTTACTGAGTCATTGATTTATTTTTAAATGGAACCGGGGGAAATGGGGCAAGTGACAAAGTAAGCGGCCAGGTCCAGGACTCAAACCGTGGCCAGCCATGTGGGAGCCCAGTGACACAAGCGCTACACCAGCTGCTGGTCCAAGGTGGATTGTGCAATTCTGCTGTAGGATGCGTGCATTTGCTGGAGAGGTGAGTGTGACGGAGGAGAGAGAAATGAGAAAACGCCCCGAGGGATGGCCGTGCCGCAATCTCTTCTCCCCCATTGTCTTACTGGGAATCTGGGCAAGCTTGCACATGCGCCTGGCATGTCTTCCCGGCCACTAGGTCCAGAACTCCGACCACACAGCTGGCTGGATTTAGGCGCCTTCAGCACACTGCCAGCCGGCCCCACCGCAGACAGTGTGCACGCGAACGGGCACGGCTGGGTTTCAATAAAACTTCACTTACAGGCTCTGACCCTTCCGAGGTCGGTCTGTTTACAGGACCTCACCTCAAAACACGTACAGAGCAGCTAATTTAGACCTGAAACTTACCGTGAGGATATTGATGTGTAAGAGTTCTAAAGAGACGCAGGTAAGAGCAGACTAATGCCAAATTAACCCCTGAATCTCTATGGGAAAGTGCAGCTCATTCCTCGTTCTCAGAATACCAACGTGTGGGCTGGCAGGTGGCACAGTGGCTAAGGCACTGGACTCCCACATGGCCTACCACGGTGCGAGTCTAAGACCGGGAGGCTTGCTTTCTCACTTTCCCTCTCTGTTTCTCTCTGGTCAAATGAAAATAAATAAAGAACTCTAATGATAATAACAACAACAACAATTACTACTACTGCTACAATAAAACAAGTAATTCTTGGGGTGGGGATGACGCCAAGGTATAAATGCAATCCATTCGAGGAGCGCTACAGTTACTCCTTAGAACAAAAATTGCTTCCCACTAGTAGCCACTCACCATATTCTGTTGTTGTTCACTAATAACGTTTTCAGCCTTCTCAACAAAGGAAATCCATCCAGTTTCCGGATCTCATTGTCAGAAAAGTCAATAGCATCGAATTGGTCTAAGGTAGCACCGAGATTTTCAATGACAGGAATTTTATACCCTGTAAAACAGAGGGGGAAAAAAACCACAGGGTTATTAACATTAATTCTAAAAAGTCTCTGGGGACCAGCAGGTGGGTGGTGCTTAAGGCGCTGGACAATCCCACATGGCCAACCACGGTTCAAGTGCTGGACCTGGTGGCTTGCTCTCTCACTTTCCCTCTCTCTCTCTCTCTGGTCAAATTAAAATAAAATGAATGAATAAATAAAATTAAATAAATAATTCTTAAAATCTTAAAAAAAAAAAAAAAGTTCCTTAAAACATCCAGTTTGAGGCCAGCAGGTTGGTGTGGAGGTTGAGACACTGGATCCAAGCGACAAATTATAGTTCGAGTCCCAAACGCAGCAGCTTGGGCGCATGTGCTCAAACTCCCGAGAGGAGACTGCAGACCGTGTCTTGGTAATTCCCCAGGGGCGTGGGTGAGGGGGATTGGGTGCTGGGTGACACTTCTTTCTCTCTCTCTCTGTGGCTAGCACATGTACCCTATAACAAAAACAAAAACAAAAACAAAACAAAACACCAACAATCTTCCAGGGTAATCTGACCCATTCAGAGAGTATTTACCTGACACTTAGGCCAAGCCAAACACTGCGAGGAACTGGAAGCAAAACGATGAACGAGGCCCAAGTCCCAGCACACGAAGCTTACAGCCCAGCAGCGGCCACAAAGGTGCCGATGACGAGGAGAGCACCGGTGGTGGGGACAGCATTTACGAGGACCTTTACAGATGCCTCCCAAGGCTCTCCGGCCTCAGGGCCAGTTAAACGGGGTAACAGTAATCTACACTTCCAACTGCTCACAGGCAGTCCAAGCCTCGTTCAGACACGGTGGACGCCGGCTGTCAGTCATTAAGATATCCTCAGGGCACCCCAACAGCACCCCCTTACTTAGGTCAAGGGTTTATACAGCGTCAAATCACACTGTGAACAAATCGTGCAAATGCTCACTTTTTGGGGTCTAATATGGGCATAATTATTGTGCTAAAAGAAATGAACGGGGTGGGGGCAGCAGGTGGCATGGTGGCTGGGCTGCTGGACGCTCACATGGCTGATCGCAGTTCAAATCTCGGACCTGGCAGCTTGCTTTCTCACTACCACCCCCTCATCAAATTTAAAAATAAAAACAGTAAATAACTCTTAAAAAGAAAAAAGAAATAAACTTGGGGACAGCAGGTGGTGTGGTGGGTAAGGCACTGGATTCCCACATGGCCAAATGAGGTTTGAGTCCCAAACCTGACAGCTTGCCTTCTCACCTTCTCTCTCTGGTGAGCACACGTGCTCTGTAGCAAATCAAATAGTAACAACAAGAATAAATGAAATCAAATCAAATCATTCTTTTCTTCTTTTTTTAAAGAGATTTTTGTGATAACATGCGTGAACTTGCTGGAAAAAGACAGAAAGAGAGAAATCACCCCCCAGGGGGGATGGCCACACCGCAATCCCTTCTCCATTCTCCTCTCGGGATCTTGGGCACGTACGCACACCCGCCTGGCGTGAGTTTTCAGCTGCCAGATCTGCGTCTTGAACCACAGTCAACTATGTGGGATTCCAGCAATGTAACCATTAAGCCATCTACTGGTTCCAAAATAAATCATTCTTACATATATATAATTAAAAGAAAGACAGAAACGAACTTATCTGCAAGGAGCATGTCCAAGTACCTGCTGTACGTATTCTCAGAGCGACACGCACGTCAGAGAGATAGCAGAGATAAATGTGAGCCAAGACAGCAAAGGCAGCCAGTTTCCTTAGACTGGACCTCCCACTAGGAAAGTGACTTTCAACGAACTAAAAGCATTGGGATTCCCCAAAGACCAAAGGAATCTAGGCAGAAAGCAGAGCCCCAGCAGTGGCGCTCCGAGACCACGGGTCCCCGCAGAAGCCAATTTCAGACCATAATGACATGATCTTATTCCCAAACAAGTGGCATTCCTTTGGTAATTTCTAGAGCCATCTCCTGAAGCGCCTTGCAATCTCTTACCAAGTCTTCCCGAGGTTGAAATACGTGAGATTAGCAATGGCGTAATGGTGGCATTGCTGGACTCCCACGTAGTGGGTTCGAGGCCTGGACTCGGTGGCTTAAAACTCATGCCACGGGCATGTGCATGCATGCCCCAAATCCTGAGACGAGAATGGAGGAGAAGGGACTGCAGAGTGGCCATCCCCCCCTGGGGTGGGGGGATGATTTCTCGCTCTCTGTCTTTCCAGTGAGCGCACACACATGCCCTATAGCAAAAGCCTCTCTAAAACAAGAAAAAAAAAAAAAGAAGAAATGCGTAACAACACTACAGGAATCTGAATACATCTGCAGAGCTTCAACCACTTATGCATGGTACCTGGCAGTGCCCGACTGCGTGAGACACAACTCTGAGCATGTTTTCATAAAAGGGACACGCCTGACAAAGTCAGAACATGCTGGGGATGGGAACACGACTGCTTTTATTCCAAGACTTAGTCCCCCCTTCCCAAGTTACGCTATGGGTAACCGCTCTACACTCGCAGCATCATTTTGTTACTTTTTATTTACTTACTCATTTTTAAACCTCATTTGTGATTTTCAGGCTGTCAGGTCTGGGCCTTGAACTACAGTTAGCCACGTAGGAATCCAGTGACTTAACCACCACACCACCTGCTGACCTCCCCCCCAAGAGTGTCATTTTTTTCACTTACTTACTTTTTTTTGATAAAAATAATTTTTCATTTAATTCCATTTGTTGTTATTTTTTTTAAATTGACCAAACAGAGACAGCGAGATTGAGAGCAAAAGGGAAAGCAAGAAAGCAGACCATCAGTTCCAGGACTTGAACTGCAGTCGGTCATGTGGGAGTCCAGCCTATTTAAGCGTCTCCACCTGCCGACCCTCATTTATTTATCTAGGAGGTTTTGCTATAGGGTGGATGCACTAGCAGGAGAGACAGAGACAGAAAGCGAGAAATCAAACCAACCCCCACCCCCCCACACCCCCGGGATGGCCACGCCTCAATCCCTTCTCTTCTATTCTCCTCTTGGGATCTTGGGCACACATGCACACGCGCCCGGTGTGAGTTTAAGGTGTAGGGTCCGGGACGCGAACCGCGGTCGACTACATGGGAGCCCAGGACGTATCCACTGCACCACCTGCTGGTCCCCCATTTTATTTATTTTTAAAAGAGTTACTTGATTTTATTAATCATCATCTTTTTCTTTTCTTCTTAACTGAACAAAGACAAAGCAATAGGGTAAATTAAAAAAAAAAAAAAAAACACCAGGTTTGGGACTCGAACCGTGATCACCAAGTAGCAAACCAGTGCCTTCACCACCACGCCACCTGCTGGCCCCACACAGGAACTTCTTATTTAAGAGTGCAATTTTTCCTAGAGGGCGCGAGCG